CCTCAGTCAGTGACTAGGATAATAATCAGGACTGTAATTCAGCTTAAAGGATCTGCAGGTCTGTGCTCTGATAATGCTGTGCTGCAAAATGTTTATCTGTGGTGGCAAACTAAGCTTACTATTACTGAGAGCTCCAGCTTCTGGTGTATGCTGTTTCTTTAGTTGTAAATACCTCCTGATAGATTCCAGCGTGCTGTCTGTCTTGTAAAACTGTCTCGTCTTTTCACTCCTGGTACCTCATGAAAAAGAATTCAGAATTACTGTTTCCTAAATAACTTGTTACTCTTTTCAAGAAATGTATAATGCCACCTTTCAGTTAAAATACAGGTGCAAATATCTAAAATAATGTTGGGTGTGTTCATAAAAACTAATTTCTTAAGGCTGCCTTCAGTTTGTAAAGAGATAGAAGATGAGAGCAGGAGCTTGATTTAACTACATATATCTGGTTTTCTTTCCCACACATCTCCCCTTCCATCTCACCTCCTTCTTTCCCTTTTCTTTTTTTCCTCATTAACTGTGCAGCTAACCAAGGGAAACTGGGCTCCACAGCATAAAGCTAGCGTTTGAAAATGTTTTTCTTCTCCTTTCCCCATGTTTTCAGCATGGCTAGGAGACATGAAAATAAGCTTCGATATAAAATCATCTTACCGTTTTGTGTGATTTATTTTTGTTAGTGTTAATGCTTTGATCTTTATCTGAAATTGGCTGAAATTTTATTTTTATAGTACTCATTCTTCCTTTTCTCTCCGTCTTTGCTCATTGCTACTTATTTTACTGGTAGAAATTTGGGTATGGTTTTCATAAGTGCATAACAGTTAAAATACAGGGGCTGATTTACTGTGGAACAACTTGTACTGCTAAGTCATGTTGGCACATTTATCATTCAGTTATTCTCTGATAAAGAATATACTTCTAAGGCTTTATTATCTTTACTTTAGTAACATATGACATGTTGTACCACATTTCTCTGCATTTCACCACTAAGTATGAGGATAACATTTTGCATCTGATCTTGGATTTATGAAGTCAATGAACCTTTAGCTGTAAATGAAATCAATTCAGATTCAAGTTCTTAATGAATGTCCACTAAAGGTATTCTGGAATGTGACAAACTTGAGCTGGTGAATTATGTGGCAATATTCTCTTATTGTCTCTCATTATTTGCTTTAGAAATCACTGTAACCTATGTTTAAGTAGAAAGCATTTATAAAGATGTCTGAAAGTGAAGCTATACGGAGAACTATGACTATATGATGACATAGCTTTACCACAAGAATATGCCATGTGGTATAAATCTGGCTGGTTTTTTTTTTGATAGTGTGTTTATAAATCATCGAACAAGCAATCTGTCTAGACTGGTAACATGTGACTGGTAACATTTTCCTGCTAATACTAAGGAAATAGGGGTCACTTATGAAAATAGAACAGTTTGTGGCCGTGTTTCTTTTAAATGCGTGCATTAAGCCTGCAGATTTGGAACACATTGTTACTTCGCTAATACATGGGAAGTTACAGTACAAAAATCCCTTGTTGACCTTCTTAAATTAATCTCTCCAGCATTAGTTATTTCCTTATTTTCAGTGGGAAGACAGCAGAGTTTAAATGTGTACAGCATGTTTAAGTGGCGAGATTGGTGCTCATAAAAAATTCATTGCAGTGTAAACTAGAATTAAATCGTTTGGTGTATTGCTGTGTGTATTTGCCGTATATATGTATGTGGAACTGACTGCTGAGAAAACTGCTGTGCATCAAGATACTAGCCCTAGATTTAACCCACTGGAGTTTTTGCTGCTGTTTGAAGCCGAGCTTTCAGATCTTGGGGATTTTGTTGTTATTTCTTTTTAGGAGGGTTGTTTACTTTCCTCAACCATTTTTAACCTGTTTGTGTCTGTAGAAATCCTTCAAAAAGGTATATAAGAGCACATGCTCTCTGTACTTAAATATAACGTTGCCATTTTTTTCTCAAAGTTTTACAAGTCTAACTGCTTGCCTTTGCTCCCTGGTAATGTTCCAAGATAACTGTTTTAATCTGAGCTGTAGCTGGTACTGTGGTATGTTTCAAGCAAAAAACCCAAGGATTAAGATTCTTCTTTTTTTTTTATTTTTTGTTTTCAGTTTGCTTTTTTCATCACCACTAGGTCCTATGCTTCAGTCAAACAAAATTTCAAATTCAAATGAGGAAATTAGATCTGCATAACCATTACATGTCTGTTGCAATCAGTGCATTTCTTTGTGGCATAACAAAAGTCCTTGGCTTTTAACTGTGCTGTGAATCATAATTTCATGGTCTGTGAGTATAAGCAGAGCTTGAAAATTTCATATCGTAGTGGATAGTGAGTAGGAAACTTTCAAGAGATGTGCCTTTGTTTCTGCAGAATGTAAGCTTCAATAAATATAGAATGCAATCCCAGTTAAATTCAGTATTTGGCAGTTCATAGGTAAACTATGAAGACAGCTTATCCACAGCAAGACAATTTCTCGTTGAATAGTATTTTTCTTTGAACCAACATTTCTAGTGGTTGGTTTAAAGACAAAAAATGTAGCGAAATGTGGTGTGTATTTATGTATTACTTTTAAATAGTTCTACAGATTGAAGATAAGGTGGTGAAAGTCAGAATCACCTTGTATTGGCCAAATTTGTATTGATGCATACCAACGCACTGCAAGCTTTAGTGCACAGAAGCTGTATTGTTACTGCTGGAACAGAAACTTTTTTCTTTTTGTTCTGTTTTTCATGGTGCCCAACATAGTGGGGTTCTGCTGCTTTGGTATTATAAATAATAATAATACTTGCTCAATGTACAATAACTTTGTGTGAGACCTATAAACAAAGCTCTGCACATTTTTTACTGTATTTGCCAATTTGCAAATAAGCTAAATCTAAATGAAAGGGCAGAATTATTTTGAAAACCATTTTTAAATCCACAGCAAAATACCAACCTGTTTCTCTGTAAAAATATACTCACATAAACAGTCTTTAAAACTCATTTTTAAAGTTTCCATGGAGATGTAAGCTGCAGCAGTTGGCTGCATCATAAAACATGAATGTTTCTGAGAAAATAACCTTTTCATGCAGTTTGAGGTATTTGAGTTCAACTCTACTATTCTTAGGTTCTGCCTTTTATGCTGCCTGATAAAAAAGCTGCATAGCTGAGGATTGCACAAATGTTTTCAAATAATCAAAATGAAAAAGTCTGCATGTTTGTAGGTTCAGCCTGGATAGCTGGTGCATAAAAAGATTAAGCATTCTCCAGATATAGCTCTTAAGAAATGTACTTTTGAGTGTAACAGCATCCTGGGCTGTGTCAACAAGAACATAGCTAGTTGCTCAAGGGAAGGGATCATCCCCTGCTCAGCGTTGGTTAGACCATGCCAGTTTTGGATCCTGCACTACAGGACAGATATTAATGAACTGAAGTGAGTTCAGCAGACCTCACATCGGTTGCAGGCAGGAGCTTCTGCCCTGGGAGGTCAGGCTGAGGCAGTGGGGCTTGTGCAGGCTGGAGAAGAAGCAGTTTCGAGGGGAGCTAAGCCACCTGCCTGTACCTACAGGAAGATCAATAACATCAATGGTGCATGGTGGGATAATGAGGGACAACGGGTATAAATTCAAACAAGAGAAGGTCCACCTGGATATAAAGGAAAAATTGAGGACAGTCAGACACTGGAATGGGTTTTCCAGAGTGGCTGTGTGTTCTCCTTAACTGAAGGTTTTTAAGACCCGCCTGGCTAAAGCTCTGAGCAGGCTAATCTGACTTTAGAGATGACCCTGCTTTGAGCAGAAGGTTGTACATAGAGGCCTTTTGAGGTCCTTTTCAATGTGAATGACTGATTCTGTGAATGATCGATGCAGATTTTCTACAAGGCAAATGCGGGTGCAATAAAGATTTAATTAGTCTCTATTGAGTTGGATCTTATCCAACATATTCCTAGTGATTTCCTAGCTGCATTTTGAAAAGCTGTGGATGGTATAGAGCAGTGGTAAATCATGTTTAGTTTCCAGGATAAGCAGAAGAGGTGGGTACAACTGGGAAAAAAACTAGTTGCAGTTTGGAATTTTGTTCCTGATTTGAGCATTACAGGGCATCCAGACTCAAATGTCTGGCCAGCTGGGGCTGAGGGTGAGAGGGTGAAGAGAAACATATATAACACTTCTGACTTTGCTTTTCTCATCTTCCACATCTCTCACTGCAGAACTATGATTGTTACATTTTCTGTGAGGCTGTATCTTGGGGAAAGTTATCCAAAGCATGGAAAGTTTGGTTTTTCATAAAATTACCATGCATATGAATTGCCAAGTTTGCTCAGAAATCATCCATAATGGACCTACTATCAAATAGGAATATTTCAAAAAGTAATTTCTCTTCCAGTGGGGTCTTATGCCCTCTTCTATTCTGAAATAGGAATTCTCTGCATCTCCCTACTACAAGTGTTAGTACTCATATCAGCTGCAGCATTTAACACCCCACTGCAGACTGCAAAACAGAATTCCGAAAAGGAAATTTGCCCTGCCAGAACTTCCAACACTGTTAAAATCAGTGTACCCTAGTGGGAGATTTCGATAGAGTTAAGTAGGAAAAATATCCCCTTGGATCATCTTTCTCTCTATGAAAAAGAAAATTGGTTGAATACAAGCATGGCAATGTTGACATTTGTTTAGCAAGAATCAATACCAGCATACTACACATATCTAATTTCAGTTCTGGGATAAATGGATTTTATTGCTTGTGTTTCTGTGTGTACTAGGATATACAATATCATGTATATATGATGACAATCAGTCTTCTATTTTGTATTGAGTTTTTAGTAATTTTGTTAGATGATTAAGTAAATCATCACCCTTCACTAGTCTCTCCCCCCTTTTTTTTTATCGACTTTTAGAAAGAAATTATTTCATTCTTTTATATCTTGAGGAAGGTTGCATTTGGAAATAAGATCAAAATAAAATCTACTTTGCTGTAGTGTTGTTCAACATATCTGTCATATTTGTTTTCTTACAGTGAAAGATTTTTTTTAAGACTGAATAGAAATGGCTTGCCAAAATGTCCAGAAAAGCCTGAAAGACACTGTTCTCTCTTTGTGGTGAGTTCTTCCTATTGTCAGTCGTTGTTGTCCTGGGTATTGAAAATAGAAGTTGGATTAAATTGTTATTCTGTAGTTGACTCAGAACCGCTCCCTAAGCTTTTGCATTGTCATGAACATCAACTCTAAAGGCTGGTTGAAGTGTATTGCTGAACTCCCAAGTTGAATGTTTTCTGGCAATATGTGGACACTTATCTAAGCTTCCACGTGGGCATATGTACCAGTCTTTCTCCTGCGACAAGGTTCGGTTCTTCATTTTACACCCAAAAAGGTTGTTTATGCAGCACTCTGTACTTGCAGAATATTAGGAATTGCACAAATGCATCACTGCTGTTGAAGACACACAGTGAGTCTCCTGTGACCTCCCACTGATTTTGCTGCATTACAGCATATTCTAGCCCATGATATTTTAGGACAGTTGTTTTGAGTGCATGACAGCCCATTTAAAGTGTTAAAGGAATAATTTGTTAATGCTGTATAAATGAACTCACTGCTCATTTATCACTTTCACTGGCGGGGAAGCACTGTGTAAAGATCTCTTTAAATGTCACGTTTTAGTCAGGAGTCAGAAATAATGAGTTTCTGATCTTGCGCAGGATTTGGGTAGCAGTGAACTCAGGAAGGACATCTATATCACTGTGCACATTATCCGAATAGGTAGGTATAATTGTCTGTGAGTAGACATCTTACATTTGTTAGACATATGACAGTAAATAAAAGAAAACTGCTTGGGGTCAGCTTTGGGATTTGTTAGATTACCTAGGCCCTTGAATAAGTTTTTGGGAAAGAAAAATGCCTGGATTTTGATGGAAAAATTGCTTTGAATTTCTCAGCATTATTTTGTGTGAATTTTCAAGTTTACTGCTAATTGAGCTTAGATGCAGGATATTTTGTTACTATCACAAAACAAAATGAAAGTGTCAAATATGAACTCTGTTAAGATGATGGAGTTGTCTTTGGGGAGTCCATTCGTGTTCCAAAGAGAGTGATTTCAAACATCCTCTGTTCATAGAAAAACTTGCTTGGGAATTTAATGCACCTAATTAGTATATAATATTTGATGTATATCTGAAATTGTTCAGATGAATTTTGTCTTCTCTCTGACCCTTTTAAAAAGGGGGAGAGGGAAAGAAGTGGAGAAAGTGTCCTAATAATTTTAATCCCTGATGTTATAGACAGATATCTAGTCCTCTGGAACAAGGTGGAAGAGAAGAAAAGTGTACATTTGTGTTAGGTATTTATTTTAAGAAGTTATCCTCTGGGCTGTACTGATGTGAAACAATAATCCTTGGGTCTGCTTCTGACCTCTTAGAAATATTGTTTTCTTTGTAAACTGTCTCTGTAGTTGCATCAGTGCAGCACTAAATATAACTTTTCTTCCTATTTTTGAAAGATATTTTGGTTTGAAATACAGTCACTGTAACTTGTGCTGAGTTCAGAAAAAACTTGTTACAAAGTAAACACTATTTTACAGCTTTGAGGAATAATTTTTCCTTGCATTTTCATGCTGGTTTAGTGTTTCATTCAAATATCAAAATATTGTGTTTTGGTTTTATTGGCAATGATTGGGAAAGGGTATGGTAAGCTCTGATGTAATGTAAGTATATTTGGTAAGAATAAATGCTGTGAAGAAGAATAAAGAGTAGAATTTTTCCTATTGTATGTTTTTCAAATATATTCTCAGTCAAGTTTATAAATGAACCACTGAAATATTAAAAAGTTAAAATAAGATTTATATGCTACATAGTGTGAAAATGAACAATTACTCTTCTAGCTGCTGTGATGCATAGGAATATTTGGAGGAGGCATTGCCCTGCAGCAACTACAACCATAGGCTTTTCTTTTCAGAAATTAAGACTTGGTGGGAAAGATACATAGCTGCCAGTGCACAATTGAATAAAATCGTTAGAAAGAGGGCAGTTTCAAATGCCAGGAACACAGCAAGAAGATTGATCAATTGTATTTAAATGAAATAGAAAAGGCTAGGAAAAATTTTTTGTTTCAAATCTGTTTTCCTTGGCTGCTGCCTTCTTTCCTTATCATAAATTGTTCTTCTGCCCTTTGTCATCTTTCCTCCCCATGTTTCGTATCTACGTAATTTTTCTGCAGCTGGTTGATTATCCACTTGCTAGCCAGTTGCCTATTTGGAAGGAGCATTTGATTACTAAATTTTAATGGCTCAATCACAGCACCTCTCATATAAATCACGGGTAGCAACAACCACGGTAAAATAATTCTTATTGGACAGCAAGTGTTGAACACTGTCATGTCTGAACTCTAAATTTAATTTGGTGATGTCGTGAGTGTGCTATCACTGGGTATCAGAAAGTGTTGTTTGTTGAGTGGAGGTCATGAAAGGATGAGCAGTACCTCTGATGTGATACCTTTCAAGATCAGCACATTTGTAGTGGAATTCCTGTCATCATAAAGTAGTATAAAGATGGACCAGATTTGCAGAATACACTTAGCATTGTCTGCTCAGACCTGTCACTATACTGAGCTGATTGCTCTCTGCCTCCCTTCTGTGGTTTTGCGAGAGGCAGTTCCATGGATTATGCATCAAATGTGTATTTTGTTTGGCAGGACGAATGGGAGCTGGTGAAAAGAAAAATGCCTGCAACGTACAGTATAGACGGCCCTTTGGCTGTGCAGTCCTCAGTATTGCAGATTTGCTGGCAGGAGATTCAAAGGATGACCTCGTCTTGAAAGTATACATGTAAGGAATGCTTTTTTCTTAATTTTTAGAAGTGTCTTAGAGTCAGTTTGCATCAGAAGCAATGATGTTAAAAGCAGTGAGAGTAAATAGCTGTATCTCCTTTCTGTTCTAAAATGTGTAGTAACTAATTTTTTATTATTTTTTTGGCCACAGTTTGGAAATTTTAGCTAGTTCTATAGACTTATTTATAAAACGGGATAATATTAAAGATAAAGGTTACATACTTCTAGATCTTTGTGTATGTTAGCATTATTCACATCCTTTTAAGAGCTCTGGAGCTTTCTTTTTATGGCAACATGAAGTGCTTTTAGGACTTGTTTAAACACCTTGTGCTGCCTAGGCAGCTAGTAGAAGTACTTTATAACTACAGAAAAAAGCAGTCAGAGTATCTTTTTGTGAAATTAAGCAATTATATAATAGGAATAACAAAAGTGTAAAAGGCAGTTAGTGCTGGAGAATGAAAAATCAAAAATAGATTTAAAAATGAATGGTTGATTAAATAGTGGATTTGGGCTGATAGTAATTGGAAGAAAGTTCAATTTTCTAGTTGTAGCAACACAGTGCATGTAATGTCCTGCTGATCTTGGACATTAGAGTAAGAACCATTTTGTGGAGTGGTCTATTCTAAATACATAAACCTGGGACACACATTGTCATGCACAGGAGGAAGTTCTGCCCCTCCCAGGGTTGGCACTCAAATCTTGGAAGCATGGAAGCCCTTCAGGCAGCCTTTCTCCTCTCCTCTGTATCCCTCTGTGCTGAATTAGAGCTGCTGGAATCAGTGCTGCAGAAAAGCAATTTAGTGTGACAGTGGACACGTGGGCTAGCACTTATTTAGACTCCCAGGACGTTAAAGTCAAATAAGTGTTCGCTGATGGTTAACAAATCGTTAGATTTGTCTGCTAATTATATTTATTTTTTTTTTAAATCATGCCTTTTTGTTTTAAAATAACAAAACAACAGAAGAAGAAATGTCATTTAAAACTAGATTTGATGCTAAGACTACCTCCAGTCTAAACCATGAAAAGGGATCATTAGAACATGGTCAGTTTTTCCGTTTGGAAAAGCAGCTGTTTTCTAAATATATACTGAAATGTAATTAGCTTTTTCACTGACTGCCTCCTGAAGATCACATCCTATTTTAAATAACATTGAAGTGTATGGCACAGATTTTTCTGTTTGCCAAGACCAGCTCTGAGTCCTCTGTCTCCTCTTGAGTGTCACAAGATAGATTTCTGTGTGGTTTAGCGCTGAAGAATAGATCTATACAGATGATGAACTTGGTCACGGCTGAGTTCCTGAGCGTAATTGCTCATATCTTTCTCCCACCCTTTGCCACACGAAGCAGATATTTTCATGGTGCCTTTCTCAAATGGTAAGAGCACTCTCACGCTTTCCAACGAGACAGGCAGTTTCATGAGGCTTTATTAACTCCTATTGTGTTATTAGTTTCATGAACAAAAGAGGATTTGTTCAGAGATATACGGTGAAGCCGGTCTGAAAAACTTGTGTTCCTATTTCAGGGTTAAGAAAGTTATCATTTTTCTAGGTGCAACACAGAGAGTGACTGGTATCAGATCCATGAAAATATCATTAAAAAGCTGAATGCACGTTACAACTTGACAGGCTCCAATGCAGGTGAGTAGGTTGCCGTGTTTCTCTTTGCATTCTTAGGGTTTTCTTAGTTTGCAAATGAAGTGGCTCTATTTTAGAAGAACTAATGTCTATGAAAGAAATATTTTTTCCCATAGAGAAAAATACTCGTATTAGATGAAAGTGATGATATTGCCATTCATGTGCACATTTAAGAAAAAATGTCACTAAATTTTCTTCAAGGAACTGCATAATACAAACTTCTATTCTGTGCTGACGAGCTACAGTTTGCTTTGGAGTTTTGTTCATATGTGGGACTGATCAAGTTATTGATCCATGCTTCTTGACATTTCTGCTTCACATTTTCATCAGGAATTTGCCATTGCCATTGTGTATTAAACTTCAGAAGAAAAATTAGCTGGAAGCTACCAGTCTGATCTGCATTCCTACTGGTAGCTCTGCATTCCAGCTAAGCAAGATGCAGAGTTGGTATTTTAGAACGTACCAATAGTCCTCCATAGTCAGCTATATGTTACTGTAACTGTCATCAAAATAAATTCCAGTGTAAGACTTAAGAAATGGGAGACAACTGACCTTTGTTATTGTGAGATGCTGGTTTGACCCATAGGAGATGTTGATTTTTCTTTTTTTTTGTTGTTGTTTTTTTTTTAAATGCCAACTTAACTTTTTCTGAATGCTGTCATCCAGAGACGCAGTCAAACTTGAAATGAAATAACCCAAAATAAGTCTATTGTCCTTGTATTCAAATATTGTTTTCCCTGTGAAACATTAGTTAGTTTAAATATGACTATAGAAAAATCTCATATGAACTAATTTTCCAGGTTTTACTGTAATTGTAATACCTTTCATGTTGTAGACTTTGTGCTTCTTTAACGTGATTTCAAGCATAATGATTATCTTGAAAAAGCATGTTCAACAATCTTTTGTGGATGAACAGAAATCACATAAAAGCTCATGTATTTGTTAGAACTGAAGTTATATATTTAACCATTTCTAATCCCATTATTTTCTCATATAGAATCTAGCCACATTTATACATGTATTTAAGGTTTAGAATATCATCCATCTTATTGGACAATAAATATAAAAAGCATGTAGTGAAAATACAGAAGTACGTTACTGAGTAAGTAATATGTTGGGCTTCTTAAATACGTTAACCATATTAATGAAAAACAACTTACTCCTGGTCATTCTGACTGTCCACGTAATACCTGCTTACTCTGTGATACATTGCCTATCCTATTTCATTCTCATGAAATAAAAGTTCACAGTTAAATACCCAGTTGTCCTAGGAGACATTGGATAAATTTGAATACTCTTAATTATATGAATATTCAACATGAAAGACATGTGGGACATGAATTTTTTTCCAGGTTACAGTGGGCTGGAAACTAAAGCTAGCAAATAGAAGATCAGTTATGTTTTTAAAAGGGCTGTCCAGGGGAAGGAGGCAAAGAAAGAAGGTCAGCACAGAATTCCAGTAATGCATGTGAAGGTTGGAAAGGGAGGGAGGAAATAAGCAGTAATGCCCCTTGGAGTACTGACCGACTAAAAGATAAACTATGAAAGGTTATTTACATTGCACACATGAAATTTGTTCCTCTGTGACTGCTTAGCAGCCTGAAAAAGTACTTGCAAGGCTTTAGCAATACGTTCAGATACTTCTGCTGACACCTCATGGAAAATATTGTTGTTACACTGCTTTCTAATTCTCTGCTGTCTTTTTCTGTAATACTATTGAATGGCTGGTTCTGAAGTCTCATTAGCCTTTTCTGCCATGTTATAGTAGTCAAAAAAGGAGAAAATCTTGCATTACAGGAGGCATGGGTCTTTTCTCTCTCTTAGGAACTATTGTCGGTATAAGCCAAACGTAGAAAAACTTGAATTTTTGGTTTATATTACACTTGCCCTTTTCAAATCATGTTAAAAAGACTTAAGAAAGGAAACACAGTAAATAAACAACAGCAAAGATCCTTCAGACTATTGTCTATCCTCTAGGCTTGCTCCCTCTTCAGATTCATCCTCTACAGTTTCTTTCAGCTTAGGAGATTTTTATGCAAAGTCTTTAGTTTCCACAAATTGTTTTCTCCCACTGCTGAAATAGTTTATAAGATAATTCATAATATTCTTCAGGAAAAAAAAAAATTCTTCCAGTTTTCTGGGGAAAACTAAAAAAGAACTCAAAACGTACTTTCAGTGTCTTGCATGTACAACATATATTGCCAGACTATAGCATTTGTATTTAGCATTCAAACCCCCACTCCCCAAAATAGTACATTTTCTACTTCAACTGTTCTGTTCTTAAGTACAGAATCCTCTGGCATCTTACTCTCAACTTGTGTCTAAAAAAGATCAAATACAGGCAAATGACCGTCACTTCTCAATACAGCCCAGAAAGGAGCAGGGGCAGAGGTTCATCCTCTTTCCTTTTCTTGGTGATACAGGAACGGAAGGACTTAGTCTTATGGATAATTTGGCATCATTTGCTGGAGTGGGAACTGGACTGTCTTTTCTGTATTAATTTCCAGCATAACAAAGACTAGAGTAGCAGGTAGTGGATCAAATTCCCGTTCACCACTAGTCTTTGTAGCTGGTGTCAGGTATCAACTTACTGGAAGACACCTCGTTGCCTAGTGTAGAAGATCAAACCATTAACGCAAAGGTCAAATTGTAAAGGATTTGCTGCATTTAGTGGCATTGTTATTACTTACATTGAGTTTTTAGTATTTGTAGAGTAAGTACTATTAGATCTAGATGATTTCTTAATTGTTAAGCAAATCAGGTTTCATTAATGTCTGGAGCGTGGCTGGCTATAAATACTATTTTTCTTATATATTTTCTTAGAATTAGAAGCCAGTTACTTTGTTTCAAAATGCAAAAATCTGTGGAAAAATGAATATTGCTGCAGAAAGATTGCACCTAATTATGTCAGTCTTACAAGGAGAATAATGCATTTCTATTCCTGTATCTGTAGGACCAGAGATCAGTGAAATGTATACTACAGACCTAGAAAACACTTACTGGCTTGTCTCAAACTATACAAAATCATCCTTTATCTCCTTTTAGTATATTTTAGATAGCGAAGCCTAGCCAAAGTCATCGCTTTCATATCAAAGCTTGGGCGTCTGTCAAACATCAAAATTTCTGTGTAGGGTTCTGTGTAGGGTTTGCAGCTTGAGACATAGTCGCAGATCTTGTTCTTTGGGTATAACTGTGAAATTGTACTCTGGACCTTTCTTGGGACTACAATAAACAGACAGTATTGGATGTGGGCTGCTTTTTTCTTTAGTAAAGCAGGCAGTAATGCACAAAGTGCCTTGTAAACTGTTATTGATCATATAATAGCTGCTTCGTTTGCCCACAGAATTACTGTGCCATGAGTGAACCTGTTGATTTTTAAAATGTTTTGAAGTGCATTTTAGGACAAGTGGCAAGAGAACAAGGCCAAATCTGGTTGTTGTTAAACACGGTTTTATACAAAAAAAAATAATAAAAAAATCAGAGAACACAACTCCAATTGTGCATACTTATACAGAGTCACGATTTTCTTTTTTTTCTCCTGATTTTTAGTATGATTTTATCATGTGCAACTTTATATTTTTGCCTGTGACAGTACTTTAGACATTCAAAAGTTGAAATGTGATTTTTGTAATGCAGCATGCGATGATTGAAGGAATGTCTGGTAATTGGAGCAGTCTTTTATGTCTAGTGTTTGGAGCAGTCCTTTGGGCTCTGAAGGTAGAGGGTTCTTGTCCACAAAAATTACCCACTTAGAACTGTGAGCAAGTTACACACTTAAATAGTGACAGTTCTTACTGTAATCCCTACTTAAACACCACCATCACCTTCAAAGTACCTCCTTAGGGACAAGGTCTTCCTGTAGGCACCTAAAACTAAAGTAGCATTTCTGCCACTGCTTAAAGTTGAGAACAGGTGGGTAGTTGGGTGCACCCAGGACACTTGCACCGTCAAGATGTGGGTGCGCTAGCTTCAGCTTACTGAGCACTAGACTGAAAAAAAAATGCTGGATGTAACAACCCCATGCAGCGCTACAGGCTTGGGAGGAGTGGCTAGAAAGCTGCCCAACAGAGAAGGACCTGGGGGTGTTGGCTGACAGCTGGCTGAATATGAGCCAGCAGTGTGCCCAGGTGGCCAAGAAGGCCAACGGCATCCTGGCCTGTATCAGGAATAGTGTGGTGAGCAGGACTAGGAAAGTGATCATCCCCCTTGTACTCAGCACTGGTGAGGCCCCACCTCAAGTATTGTGTTCAGTTTTGGGCCCCTCACTACGAGAAAGACATTGAGGTGCTGGAGCGTGTCCAGAGAAGGGCAACGAACCCGGTGAAGGGTCTAGAGCACAAGTCTTATGAGGAGCAGCTGAGGGAACTGGGGTTGTTTAGGCTGGAGAAAAGATGGCTGAGGGGAGACCTTATCGCTCTCTACAGCTGTCTGAAAAGAGGTTGTAGAGAAGTGGGGTTTGATCTCTTCTCCCAAGTAACAAGTGATAGGACAAGAGGAAACAGCCTCAAGTTGCACCAGGGGAGGTTTATATTGGATATTAGAAAAAAATTCTTCACTGAAAGGGTTATCAAGCATTGGAAGAGGCTGCCCAGGGAAATGATGGAGTTGCCATCCCTGGAGGTATTTAAAGGACGAGTAGACGTGGTGCGTAGGGACGTTGTTTAGGGGTGGTTTTGGCAGTGTTAAGTTGATGGTTGGACTTAGATGATCTTCAAGGTCCCTTCCAACCTAGACAATTCTATGATTCTATGACTGCTGACTCTCATGCCTACGCAATTTCAGGGAATATATAAATATCCACTGGGTTTAGCAGAGAAATTATTTACTCCAGTGTTTGAGACATTCTTCAAAGACAGGAAACGTCTTGGTTCAGGCTCTGATTTGGAAAATGATTTTCAGTGTGTCCCAGATGAGCATACTAATCACTTGGCTTCTCAGACTTCCCTGCAGCAACTGTTCAACTTTGTATATAATCAGAAAGTATTCATTATACCATGGGGAAA